CACACGGTCGAGTAAAAAAAAAAAATACTGTTAAAAAGGGTTAAAACTTGAGAAATACTCTACCTTAGGAGATGGGTACCCAAGCTTACAATTGACGCGAGCAGCACGGTCCTGAGCCTCAATGTCGGCGCGCGGCCGCCGCCCTCCGGCCGGCGGAGAGGACGTCCGCAGCAATTTCTCGAATATGGCCATGACGAGGAACATCGAGATGAGAATTGCGGTGGCCACGAACCCGAAGGAGACGGCGTTGACGGAGTTGTCGAAGTGAGTCCAATGGTCTTCCCTCGGGATGTACGGCGGAGCGCCGCCGGGTGCCGGAGGCCAGCTCCTCCACTCGTCTCCTCCTCCTCCCCCGCCGCCCATTACAGACTGCTATGCACGCACGATTAGCACCCTCTTTGGACTAGCTGGAGCAGAAATTTGACCAAAATTGGAAGGGGAAATGAAAAATGGGCTGTCAATGCGGCTATGGAGTTTGGGAAGCTTTTTGATTTTTATATTTATTTATAAAGAGAGAGGAAAAAAGGAGTAACCCTCTCTCGGAGGTTGAAAATGGAAGAACGCTTTGGGATTTGGGGAGACAGTGAGAGAAGCGCGTTTATAATGAGTAGCTATAATATGGTTTATAAGTAAGAAAGCGTGCAAACGGAACTTGGAAATAACGAGGCTCGTGTGGTGAAGAAAAGGAAAGTCTCTTGATTTTTTTTAATTATATATATATATTTTTTTCTAGTAATAAACAATATGAAAAGTAAAAACTTTATTTAAATAAATAAAATATACTTGAGATTGTAATGAATGAAAAATAAAATTGTAATGATTAAACTTGAATTGATATAAGTAAAATATAATATTATCTGATTTTGATTGACTACTGAGATCTCCGGACTCTCTGATATGGATATTATGGAGGTCTTCTTCCACAGAAACTCAGGAAGGTACGCTCACCACATTCGAGCGCTCGACTTAAGAGGGGCACGCTCACCACATCCAAGTCCTAACTAACTCGACCGGGACGGACACGCTCATCTATCCCGGTCAACAATCTACTTACACACATACATCATACAAGATAAGCGATTATAGGCAATGAAATACCCAGTCAGGGTTCCCACCTGATAGCTGATGAATGCAAGTGTTGAAAATGCGTAGCTGGCGGAGGCTCGACTCTTCTTAAGCTACAAAAATATTTAAGCAAATATATTCTAAGTACTAAATTCATATTGAGAAACTCGGTTCTTTAATAACTGATCTAATTTAGTAAATTCGCTCGCTCGATTTTGAAGACATTTAAATCTCATATTATAGTCTGAATTTAACGGCTTACCGAAATAATCAAAGTTACGAGCTAAGGTAAATAATTTCTATCTCGAGGCTGTCTAAGGTTCGCGAATAAATTTCTAAGCCTGGAACTAATTTTCTGACTTGAAATAGGACTGAGTCGGTTCGGAAAAATGCTTAAATCTCGGCTCACGCTCGAATCGGAAAATCTCGAACTGTCCGAGCTTGCCCGGACCGGTTCAGCTGGATTGGGTCGCTCGATGGCTAAGCGCAGCTCGCCTCGACCGCGGTCAGGATCAACTTGGAGCGGCAGCTCTCGACACACGCGGGCCATGCTGGACAAAGTCTCGCCGGCACACCGCCACACCGTTGGGCAAGGTGTGCCGCGGCGGCCGTGGATCAAAAGGAATCGCAAGCACGCCGTTGGATTGGTCCTCCCCAATTGGTCTAAGAGAATATGGTGCTACGCGTGCAATGGAGCATCTCCCACGTGTCACGGGTTTACCACTGATCATGACTAGAAAGAGAACTGTGGGGGCCCATATTTCGTAATTGACTACTTGTGGACCAATAGTAGAGTGGTCAAGCTCAATCAGAGGGCTAACACACATTTGGTCTCCACCAATAGGAGGCCTTCATTTCCATTCTCTTTCACTTTCTCCTCTTTTTATGCAATACTGTGAAAAAGTTGGGATTTATTAGACTTATGGGCCTAGGCCATAGTTATTTTCTATTGGACTGACCAATATTTAGATTGTAATGTTGTCATGGGCCTCCGTGTATGGGTACATTGGTAATTTTTATTGATATATTGGTCCTGCCTCTACTTGAATGAGTTTGGATGCAAATATATTCGCTCAAAATGAGTTTTTTGGTTAATTATGATTAATTTTGAAAAAAGTTAGAATAGTTAATTGTCAGTGGAATTTGAGTTTATATTAAAATAAAATTTAAAATAAAATAATTAAAGTAAATTTGATGTAAAAGTATGAAAGAGATGAAGAAAAGTGATAGTCAGTTAGAACTATGCGAGTAGATGAATAATAAATTAAAGTTGATGTGATATGTAAGAATGATTAGTTGATATTATTTAATTATATTGATAATATTGGTAATGGTGTTGATTGAGTTAAAATTGAGTTAGATTTTGTGTATGAATTGAGTATGAGTTGAAATAATGATAAACAAACTCACCTAAGGGAATGTTCGTACGCAATTAAACTAGTTTTACTGGGTTTTTTTGGTTGACTATAGTTAATTTTCTTAAAAAAAAAATTTGGTTAGTTTTTAGTGGATATTAAAATAAAATTAAAATAAAATTATTGAATTAATTTGTTGTAAAAGTATGAGAGAAATATGAGATGTGATAGATAGTTAAAATCATGTGAGTAGATGAATAGTGAATTAAAGTTGATGTGATGTGTAGGGATAATCGATTGATATTATTTGATTATACTGATAATATTGAAGATGGTAGAGTTGAGTTAAAGTTGAATGAGATTTTTGAGCTGGGATTGGATTTTTTGTTGGCAAATTAATAAACAAACAAGCCCTTAGTTTAGTTTATTTCAAGCTACATGTGTTCTCGTCTTGTAGTTCTCTCTCTAAATTCAACTGAATAGTTGTTTCAGTCAGCTAGTTCGCCGCTTGTAAATATGTATTTTATTATTAGATTCTACCGTTCGAACAAAAAAATTAAACTAGTGTTCCAAATAGTTTTCTAAAATTAATTTAAATCAATATGTGGATAAAATCGAGGGCTTGTTTTAATACTAATGTAATTTTGAACCATAGCCACTTGACTTATTCTCGTTGATGTCTAGTTGTATTTATGTGTTTCATATATAAAATCATCATTTGGAAAACAAAAAAAAAAAAAAAAAA